GATCCGTGTGCTTATTCACACCTGTAACCCAGCGGTAGACTCGGGTGGGGAATGCATTTTCGATTTTGACATCAAAATTACAGCCCGAAAAAAAATCATGTGGATGTAGATAGCTAAATTTCAAACTCGGAAATTATGCAGGGCGCTGTTCGGCAGCCGGCTATTTTGTGTGCAGGGTATGACGTATTTCGCGAGCCGACGTCACAGGCGGTGACGTCGGCTCGCGCGCGAGCCGAGCGCCAACGACAAACTAACGGGAACCCTCGGACACCCTCGGGGCATAAACCGCGGAGTAGCATATTGAGCGAGTCTTATAAGGAAAATTCATATATTTTCGTTTCTCAAATGATAATCAGGGTGTCTCTTACCTTTTTACATATCATTTAGGTTTACCTAACACTTCAGTTGCCAAATATCTGCAATTTATTCAAGCGAAGGTGTTTTCAGTAAATATCAATGGTACAGACCGAAATCTTTTGAATAAAAACTCCAGCCAACAGAAATAAAAATAACTTAATTTATTCCAACAATTTCCTCCAAATAAACAACATAAAAACTCACTTTTACACACATCATTCATAATAAAGCATACTATCACGCCGCTTTTGACAATTGCGGCGTCGAGTGGCGCGCTGCTAGCGCTCTTTTTCGATCGCAGAGACCCTGCACGCGCGCGAGCACACTACGTCACGTCCGGGGGGCACAGGTATATGAAAAATCGCAGTGACGTAACACTTTTCTCGCTTCTCATTGGTCAATAGCCCGTTGCCGGGGTAACGTGCACGTATGTGAGCGCGGGCAAGAGTACTAGCCGGCCGCCGATCAGGGCTCAGGAATGAGCTTCGAATTTAAAACGCTGAACGGTCTGACGGTCATCGCTAGTCCGTGGCACACATCGGTACTACCCTTTTTTTGCATTGTTTTGTGTGATGAAGATGCGATGAAACCGACGCGGTTGAAGTACCACGGTCTCTCGTGTTTTGATCCGCCAACTGCGCCAGTCCTCACGGCCCAAACATGTGTGTTGGTTTGTTTTCCATCGTTGACTCGGATGAATTGCCTTCTATTCTGTTAGCTGGAAATGTCCATTCTGTTGATTTCTTGGATTCCAGTACCTCGTTCAGAAACGGGTTCGCGGAGTGTACGAATCTTTCGAATCAGGTTGGGCGAGCAGCTTACGAAGCAACTCTGGTTGGTTATGTGCGGTGACAGAGTTATGAAAACTAAGCTACAGTCATTTGTATTTGGCTGCTTGTTACTTTTTTTAGTCCGGTACCATTTTCGGTCTTGTAATCTATATAGTTTTTACTGAACTTAAACTACGGCATTCGTGCATGCTATGGTCAGCTTTATTCATTTAGTGATTTGCCACCGCAATCGTGACAGTGACTACAGGCTTGGGTTTATGGTTAAACTCTTATTGTGCACCCGCTTCTATGCTAGGCATTCGGTCTATGCATAAAAAGAGAATACTTTACCGATGAACCACGCTGTTTACACACGATTTGCATATGCCGAGATATTATTCAGCTATGCTCGATGTTCGATGACCTTAAGCGTGAATTCTCAGAAAAACGCAAAAATAAACCACTACAAACGCCAGTATTTGGCTATTTTTGTGATCGGTATTGTCAGCGATCTCTCAGTCGCAGTCGTGAGTTCTCTGTAGCTGACCCTGTATCGTTATATGACGCCGCTGGCAGCCGGGGTCCTTGCCTCCCTTCTCTGTTGATTTTACCAGGCCACCGAAGGTTTGGGCTCGGAGGCCGGTCGCCGGATGCCGCCCCGTCATACGGCAGTCGTTGCTAATGCCGTGTTTTGGCTCGTGGACCGGCCGAACCAGGAATAACCAGCCCGCCCGGCCGGCGGCCCGCCGCCGGTCCCGCTGTCCGTCCTCGTCCGACAGCAGCCAGCGCAGAGCTCTGGACAGGCAATGGACGGCCTTGGCCGGCGGAGGTCGTGCCCGACCGTCCGGAGTCGGTCTCGATAAATAGCGGCAGGCTGTGTGGCTCCCATGCTGCTATGGGCGTTGTTTCTCTCATGCGACCAAGCGGGGGCTTTAATATTGATGAAGTAGGAAGCGTGGACCTTATGGAAGCGTTTGAGGCAGCGGCGTTCTCTAATGTACCCATTGTTTATTCAGTCAGATTTGTCGTGTTGTCTTGGGCTAGTTGCTTAATTTAAATGCCCTACTCATATGCTTAATGTATGATCTTCTTGCCAGCCACAACTTTGGTCTTTGGTACAGTGCAAGTATGTATGGTGTCATTCTGGTTCGACTACAGATCTATCACAGAGATGTATTCAACGGCCTCATGTTTTCTCTTCGGTGGTATGCATATTTACACTGTCGAAATTGATCGTTATGTTTATTCATCTTCACAACAGACCTTGCTCTTATATAACTGTATTTGTTATTTCGATGGTTGTCTCGACTCACATGCCTACAATTGACGTTCCCTCGGGAGCTGCAAGATAAAAGACCCCCAGTTGGATTTAATTCTACTACTTTGGGCCACGTCTGACCGGTTGCCGACGTTTCCAAATCATATCGTTTCAGGCCTGAGAAAATTGTCATCGCTGCGTTCGCTTGCCATCCCTTGCCATCGCATGCCATCGCTAACAGAAATCTCTCACTCGTGAATCGTGAATGGATCACTCATGAAGTTTGGCCATATATTAGGCTGGTCTTTCCCGTTCAACGTTTTCGGTCGTTCTCGAGCCGTAGCACATGCGGTGAAATTAATCTGAGTGCTTGCCATACACACTGCGCAGCCATTCCTAATGCATCACTCAAGCTGCCTACCTGTATGGTATTTTGGGATTCCGATATTGGTGTTGCCATTTGTCGATGATACTGAATCAATATTGTTGCGTTTATTTACCGTGCTTGTAGGTATTTTGGTCGAGAGCGCCGGAGCTGTCTATTGAACTCCCATCTAATTCGTTGCGATCGATGTCGGGAGCGATCGGACGGCGGCGCTGACGGCTCCGACCGCCTCCGGACGTGACCGAAGGTCGAGCCCAATATAACAGCCCCCGGACAGAGTTACGGTCCTTCAATCTCCGAGTTCCGGCAGGCGGCTGGCCGCTGGGACTCCACCGAAATGGGCTCTTCCGAGTCCGCCATGGAGCCGGGTCCGGTCTTCGGGGCACTGTCCCCTGGGCTCCAGTGGCCGGGACCCTGTCAGCGAAGTGACTGGTAATCACAACTCCAGCTCAGACCTGACCGGCGACTTCGTGACTGCTGCGCGGAACTGGTCCCAAACCGCGGATTGTCAGACGTGCTGATACGCGCTGCATTCGAACAAAGGCGGCGGTCAGGACTGGAACCGTCCGCATCAGTCGTAATGCCAAAACTGGCCCCAGCCTGTGACCGCCAAACACTGGCATGCGATGGTTAAATCCGAGGATTACGTGAGTAAGAAGTAACGCACATCCTGCGGGAAGTTGTCGAGCGGATTTTAGATTAGTGAATACTCATCTATATGACGGAACTCTATGAAACAACGTCCAGGTGACTGAGGTAGTCATTCGCAGGACTAGCGCCTCTGGTGGGGTTTTCCTGACCGGTGCCCTGCGCCGCGTCTTTTCCCACGCTACAGACGCTGCTCGACCTTGACACCGGCTGTCGCGGAGGCCGCCGAACTTATACCACTGTCTCCGAGAGCGCTATCGGGGCCTGTAAGTGGGGTCATCCCGAACATTCACAGCCCAGATACTTATGGTGCTATCCACTTTGTATGGTGAAATCAAACGGGAGGACTTGCGCTGAAGGTGGGCGTCAAGAGCGCTGCTCGACACTTGGACATAAGCTTTACCGTAGTGGTGTATTTTAAGCTGCATTGTGTCTGTTGTTGAACCGCTGCAACCTGACTCGATCACCGCCTCCTGTTTTCTGATATGTCGCCATTGGGTCCCTAGAATATGCTGGATACCGACCGCGTATTGTAAGCGACTGCTGCTGGCACTCAGTTGCAGTGACCGCTTAACTCCTCCGTGTGGTACGGCACTCAAATATTCGAACCGTAGTGCTCTGCCGCTCTCAAATTGCCCCAGTGTGGGAGATATTGATATCAGTGCTCGAAAACAAAGTACCTCTCGCAGTATTTGCATGAAAAGCGTTCGAACAACACATTCCTGACACCGCAACTACTGGGAAATATCAGAGCAAATATCGTTATCATGCATATTCTACCATGGAAGAAGTTTCAAGTTTACCTAATAGATAGCAGTAAACCGGCATTTTTTTCGTCTTAGCATCCTTCACAGTTCACATCTACCAGTACCAGCGTTATTTCAGCTTTATGATTCGCGCTGTTTTCTTACTGCTATTAGGTTTAGGTATTTTAACCTTGAACAAAGTACCTACAGGCTACGCAATTAGCAATGTAATTTGCGCAGCTAAACTGCGATTCAACGTAGGATAAAAATTAAAATAAATCAAATGAAAAACAAATGAATCTCGCTTTGACGTGACTCATGCCGCAAGGGATATCAACAGGGTACCTCTCACAACTGTGGGATTTGGACCGTATGCTACCGCGTTTGATGCGATGCCCCTGCAGTCTGCACCGTATACGCCATACGGGTGCGCTTTTGGCAACATTTTCCCGGGCCTAGCACTGCGGAAGCACCGCGACTAGCCAGGCAAAATCCCCTTTCACCACTGGTGAATGTCGAAGCCAGTTAAAACGTGCATGATGATTGATGAATTCATATGATGAATTGGTCTTATTGGATGTTACGGACCAGTTAACAAAGTGTACTAGCATGTTTACGCGGCAATTCATTGCCACTGTGTCAATAGTTTTTTAGCATTATTCAGTTACATCAAGAAGCAAGCCATTACATTTAGCCATTACATTAGCCATTACATTCAGGTGTTACATTTTGGTGTTAGTTCAGGTGGGGAGCCACGGTCTCGCGCAGCAGTCCAAGTACCTTCATTCTCGTTATGTCATCCATGGTCACCACCCTGTCTCTGTCCTGCCCGGCAGGTACGCGTACGCGCGGCGCATCATGCTCGGCCTGAGCTGCTGCATGCTGGGTGACGCGCTGCTCGTCTTCCCTGGCTTCTTCCTGGAGGGGATGGCCGCCTTCGCCGCCGGACACCTCTTCTACATATCGGCCTTCGGCTTCAAACCCGTCAACCCGTACGCGGGCGCCGTGCTGTACTCGCTCGGAGCGGCCGGTAAGTTACCCGTGCTGTACTCGCTCGGAGCGGCCGGTAAGTTACCCGTGCTGTAGGGGAAGGTGGGGTAAGACGGCCCAGCGGGGCAAGACGGACCACCAGCCCTCCCGGCTGAACCGCTGCTGGTATCTACTGCTTTATGCACTCACTATGTTTGTTTTCCTTCGTAACAATTGCCACCTTGAGCTCATGCTGTTAGGATGCATAGCTTTTGAGTTATTGAGAAAAATGTTGTTTTTCGTCAAACCGATCTAATATAATAGGTCTACGGGTGATTCAATTACGACGCCTTTCTTGCATGATTAGTTTCTATTTTGCACTTTACTGTGAAGAACAAAGTTAGAAACTTAGTTAAAGTCACACTTTAGGAAAGGCAAGGTTTTGCAATGTTGGGCTATTTGACATATACGTCATGATAATGACAGAATTTAGATTTGGGGCAAGACGGACCACTGTGGTCCATCTTACCCTGTGGTGGTCCACTGTACCCTGCATATGGAAAGTTCTTTTCCAAAACATTGACACAAGTTTAAGTAAGCTAATTTTTCAGGAAGGAGTCTTTGTTGCATGTGAGCCATGCATGCAAGTGCTCAGTTAGCATGCATTCATGCCAAACGACAATCAACACACATGTTCCCAGCTTTTAGCTGCTTTTCCATCACACATGAGTAAAGAATAAAGGCTCATTTTGTTATTTTACCATTCTGGTTACTTTTTCTTACAAGAGTACAGAGCAGAAGTGTAACACACATGAACGGATAGCAGACACTGCTGGGTGGTCCGTCTTACTCCACGTTTTTTCTTGTCTGAGTTTTTGACATGTCCCTCTTTAAGAGCATCCACCACCTAGATGTCTTTAATTTGAAATTTAGTCTTTACACATATCAACAGAGGAATGATTGAGCATTCCGAAGACTATAAATAATATGAATTACGAGAGCAGTGTAGCAAGATATGCGGCCTCAAACCTTAGCTGGTCCGTCTTACCCCACCTTCCCCTACTCGCTCGGAGCGGCCGGTAAGTTACCCGTGCTGTACTCGCTTGGAGCGGCCGGTAAGTTACCCGTGCTGTACTCGCTTGGAGCGGCCGGTAAGTTACCCGTGCTGTACTCGCTCGGAGCGGCCGGTGAGTTCTGGGTTCTCAATTTTCAGGTGACGTGTTGTATAAAAGTGCCCGCTCTCGCTAGTCACTTGGGCGCAAGTGATCGGTGCAGTCTGGGATACATGGTACACAGAAGACACCCTGAAAGAACCCTACTCATTCACTCACACTCACTCACTCACTCACTTTATTACTCGAGCGCTCCCTTCCTCCCTCCCTCACTCACTCACTCACTCACTCACTCACACACCCATTACTCCGTTGACGATGTGTACTTGTTGTCTCTCATTCGTACTCTATGACCTGACAGGCCCGGCCCGTTCCACCCTCACAGGCCCGGCCCCTTTCCGCAGTCCGGAAGCCGCCCCTAACCGGTTCGGCGCCGCGTCCGGCGTAACTAACTGACTGATCTCTTCCTGCTCTGTCGGACGTGTTGAACCGATCTGATGCCAGCTCGGGTTGGTTTGAGATCAAGATGTATCGCGTCTGATGACAGCGCGTGACTACTCGTATACCGCATTACTTGATACGATAATCTTGTTATTTGGGCTACGGTTGGTAGCTGAGTTATTTGGGCTACGGTTGGTAGCTGAGTCGTAAGAACGGTTCAATCTCATGTAGCCTCGTGGGTGTCTCGGAGTTTATCAGCGTTTCCCGGCTGCCCGAGACGCCTGCTCGGCACGCCCGCTGACATATGATATGCGGCTGTTGACCTAAAAACAATGAATGCGTCTCATGTGACGGCCTTAGAGCGTTTCATGTGACGGCTGAGTAGCACGTGCGACGCCGGTGAGCGCTGGTGACCCCTGGTTTGTGAGCGTCGCTGGCCGCTGGTATGGCGGACTCCACTGTCCGCTGGCAGTGGGCCTCATTAGCTCAGCGGACTCCTGGTCCAGTAAGCCCTGCTGACCGCTGCGCAAGCCCAGTGATCGCCCATCACCGTGGGGTCAGTTAGCTCCTCGGGCTACTGGTCATGCAAGCTCCGCCGGCGGCTACTGGTCCAGTAAGCTGCGCCGTCGGCCGGGCCGGTTAGCGTCGCCGGCAGCCGTCGCTCGTAGCTGGCCGTTTTAGCGGTGCCCGGCCGGCCGGCAGGCCTGACGAGCCTCCCGGAGCGCCCGGACGCCCGGTGCATGTGTACTGGAGAGCGGCATCGCTGGGCCGGCCCGTCCCAATGATAGCACGGCTGGCGATAGGCCGCAGACAAAGACTGAGCGCTCTCTCCAAGGATATCTGCCGAAACCGGTGACAAAAACAAGAGCTTACCTGACGCTAATCGTGCCACAACAGAGCCGTCCTGTGTGTCAATCAGCACGACCCGTCATCCCGCCTAATTGCTCAACGAAACAATGCACGCAACATTGGGCAACTGTAATGAGCTAGGGTTTTATTGTTAGTGCAGGCAGACTCTCCCGACCCCACAAATGGCCGACCATCGGCCGACTTTCGATCCTCTGTGCGGCTGAATGACCGTGCCGGTCGCTGTCCATGCCTGTGACTGTGTGGTATCTGTATCTGCCCGGCTGTGACTAGGGCTGTGGCCTGTGTCTGTTTCTGACTGTTCCTAGTGTTTGCCAGCGCTGTATCTGCTGATGCTGGGCGCTGAGGGCGTGTTCGTTGTCTGACTGTGTCTCTGTTTGTATCTTCCAGCGCTGTACCTGCTGATGCCGGGCGCTGAGGGTGTGTTCGTCGTCTGTGACTGACTGTGTCTGTGCCTGTGTCCCCAGCGCTGTACCTGCTGATGCCGGGCGCTGAGGGCGTGTTCGTCGTCTGACTGTGACTGTGACTGACTGTGTCCCCAGCGCTGTACCTGCTGATGCCGGGCGCTGAGGGCGTGTTCGTGGTCGGCCTATGACTGTGTCTGTCTTTGTCCCCAGCGCTGTACCTGCTGATGCCGGGCGCCGAGGGTGTGTTCGTCGTCGGCCTGCCCGTATACGCTGGCGCGCTCATCACCATGGTATGGCGCGCCATCGCCCGCGTCCGCCTGCTCGAGGACTTCTGGACCTGGACCAAACTGTGCTCCTGCATCGGCGGCATCTGTTTCGTCATCTCGGACACGTTCATCGGCTTCCACGTGTTCTACGGCGCCCCGTACATCCAGGTGAGATCGCCGCCCGAACCGCTGGGGGCTCGCCGCTGGCCCCGTGGTGTGAAGGTTGGCGCACCGGCTCGGGTTGCGCTAACCCCGCCCGGCTGGTTAGTGCATCATACGTCGGGCGATCAGGCCTGCTCAGCGGACCGGCAGTGGGGATATATGAAACCTTGACCTGCACTGCAACTAGTTTGTCAAGCTGGATGGGTATTGTGTAGGACAGAACAGGATTTGTGCAACAAACAGATTGCGCTGATTCAACATCATGACGTTCGTCCTTCTCTCACAAAACAGGTTAGGGGCCCTGGTAAAATTGTGTTGTGAGTTAAATTGATTGATAAAGGGTGTTCACTAAAAATTGACACAAACTTTGAATGACTGCACATCAAAAGTGAATCAAGCTATTACGATGCAGCTTAGCATAGTCGAGATAAAAGGGACGCTTTTTTATCATACCGAGCATAAAATTTCACGGATGTAGGTAATGAAAACAGTGGCGTTAGAGGTCGTTTTAAACAAGGACTACCAAAAGCCCATTGGCAGGCTTTCCCAAAGTAGCACGTCAATGGGAGAGTTTGGCACGTACAAATACCCAATGAAAACTTACAATGTCGAAATTAGTTACATACCGTACAGTAGGACGAAAGTTCTAGAGGGTGTGGGAGTCCGAAAAGCTGAAGTGGTGTAATTGTGAAGATATTGGCCTGAGGAAGGGTCGGGCCCCGAAAATGCACGTGTAGGGGCTTTTTGACACCTCACAGTGCAATGCTGCTGATCAGTAAGGTATTAACTGTGCCTAAGCGAAGAAGATATATCACACCTGAGACTAGGCTGAGTTACAACCGGCGTAAATAATTTCTCGAAGCGACTGGGAACAACATAAGGCCAGGGAAGTAAATATGCTATGGTCAAAAAAGGGACAAAAATGCAGAAAAAAAAGTTAAACTATTTAAGGTAGAAAAATCATGTTTTTAGTTAAAGGGCGACAATTAACTAGACAATGGAGTGTTCTGTTGTGATGTGGTCGATGATACAAGGGCTAACGTCCATTTAAGTGTCAGCATGCAAGCTAACGCTGGATGCCGTGGTGTATGTGTTATTTCAGAGAATATCATCAGTTCGACTTTATTCCTCCAGACTGGTCCTTTACAATATGATACTTTTTTTAGCAAAGAGTATTATTAAGCACTAGAGGTTCATGCAGAACAACATATGTAACCAGAAGGTGATTTTCTGGTCCGACCTCGCTCCAGCACACTAACCAAGGGGCGCCTTGAGGACCCCGGCCGATGTAAAAATGTCCATTGGAACGAGACCCGATAAGCCATTTTCCACGCCTGAAATTTAACAAATGACTATCGAATGTGATTTGCCTAAGGCTATTATAACGTATGTTGGTGTCTTTCGATTTCATACAAAATATCAACTGGTTGCTCATTACCACCATCAACTGGCCAACATCACGGTCCACTGGTGCCAGAGCTTGTGACAACACTTCCAAGGAAATGCCCAAAAAATGACCTATGGGGATCAGGCAAATCTGTTGACGTTCTACGGCTTGCAGCAGATGCAATGTGCATTACAACAATGCCTCGTTTGTTTAAATCGGTACATTTTTACCGAAAATACAGCCTGCTAAACTTTGTCTCAATTTTTAGTGAACACCTTGTAGATGTAATGTACATTGCACTTGTTTCAAAATTATTTACATTTTCAACATTGTTAATTTCAAATGCTTATTTGTTACAGCTCTGTGTATAGTAAGCAAGTGGCAGCATATCCTGTGATTATTGAATATCATGATCATAGACCTCTGTACGTACACCAAGTCTACGATGTACAGCGGTCTATGTCATACTTTTTAGGTGGCACACGAAACGCGCACTGCATTTTATCGCTTGCGATCATGAAACCGTCACCTAATGTAACAAATGTCACCTGTAGCTCGGTTCCCCGTACTCGCCCCTCCCCGGCTGGGTGAGCCCCGCCGACACTCCGCCTTGGTGACAGAGTTTCTCCCACCTGCCGCCAGGCGGCGGTGATGGTGCTCTACTACGCCGGCCAGCTGGGCATCGCCCTCAGCGTGGTCGACTCCAAGGCCTCCTACCTGGACGCCAGGCGCCGCGAGAAGCAGAAACTGACCGCCGACGGCGCTACAAAGAGCGCGCTCAACGCCGCCGCCCCGTGCGCCACAATCGCCGCTGCTCCCTGCGCCACGATCGCTGCCGCTCCGTGCGCTACAATGGCTGCCGCCGCTGCCGTGGCCGCCGCTCAGTAGGTGGTGCTGCTGTCTACCCAGCAGTATCGGCATAGTCGGCTAGAAGGTGCCCTGCTGTCTGTCCAGCAGTATCAGCTCAGTCAGCCCAGCAGCGGCCGCGGTGGCTGCTGAATAGGTGTTCAGCACAGCGGCGGCCGCTATGGGCTCACGCAGACTTTAGTTCAAACGGGCATGGGCGTTAGTTCAAACAGGCATGTGCGTTAGTTCAAACAGGCTCCCTCGCGGATGTCGCGACCGGCTGGGAGGGATGGCACAGCTCTCAGCGGAGCGATCGTCCGCTGACTGCGCCGGAGCTTTATCAGCCTTTAGTGGAGAGGGCGCCCCGGCCGGCGCGGTCCCGGTCCTAGCCCGCTCAGTAGAGCAGGTATCCGCCGCGAGACGCCCGCGCCCCACCCTCGCACACCTGACCTCTGCTGGAAGACACTCGCGGAGCGGGTGCATATCGCGCTTTCATTGGTGGTCGTCCGAGACGCCGATCGCGGGTTCCATGGCATCAGCTTCCGGGGCCGGTGCTGCTACACATTTCCTTTGAGGTTCAGAGCTTGCCTAGTGCCAAGGCTTCGATTTGTCGGTCATCTTGACCGAATACCATTAGGAAAAGTGAGAACGGAGGGAGCCTGGTGATGCCTCTGAGTTTCAATGTCTACCATAGCGAGAGATCTGTAAATGCGTCGCGTGGTTCTGCCTCGAGAGAACTGCACGGGTGGCCGAGACGCCGCTTTGGTCTAATGTAACGGGTCGACTGACACTGGTATTGATGTTACCGGCGGGCGCGTTATAAGTTCGGGATGAAGGGAGACTGCGGGACACCAGCGATATCGCCGAGGGAGCTGGGGGAGGATGGGGGAGGGGTCCATCCGCGGCTTACCAACGTTGCAGAGTGCAGCCCAAAATCCTAATGCAGGTGAAGTCAAAAAGTGTCGCTACTCGTAATCAAAAAAGCCTCACAAAACTAATGACTAGCACGGCCTTTCCCGAATTGGCGCCGATTCCGGCCGACCATCCCATCAGTGCTGGGTCGTCGGTAACTTATGCGGCTCGCAGGGGCGCAGAACCACCAAACTCCCTTCCGTGCCTAGCTGGGTAGCACCTACCGTCTCTGAGTTCAGAAATATGGGGTCGTAAGGCTCAGCTGACGCACACGCTGGTGGGACCGACAGTTGAATGTCGGCAAAACACATCGTGCAATGTTGGCCATAAATGGCGCACGCTCAGATTAAGAAAGACGTGATCCTTATACCAAATAGTTGGTAGGTTTTCATCTCCTCGATGTCGTATGTCCTGTGTAGGCGACTGGTTTCCCGTCGGCTGGTTATGTTTACACATGTGCGCGTGCCGCGGCCCCGCCTCGTGTCGGCGCTATGTCCCCCTGGCGCTTATCGGCGCCCGTTTCAGCAGTCTTCCTTTGTTGACGTTGAGTTGATGGTGCATCGCCCCGAGCGCCGCGTACTTCTCGTTCACCTGCTCTCAGAGACTGAATGAGCCTGTGTGTGAGAGATCGGTGTCCCTGGCGTTTCCTCTCGGTACCTTTGTGGTTAGTTTTAAGTCAGATCGTTGTTGTGACTGCTACCACGGGAGCCCACAAATGGTCGAAGTAGTTTCTATAAGTATGGTCGAAGTATAAGCTAGTTTCTATAGTTATAGCTGTATTTTATGGTGACTGATACCGGGATGCGCGCTTGGCTACGGCCGAGACCGAGCATGCGTTTGGCCCCGGTAATTTGCAATACCAGGCTTGCCACCAACGTTCTTCATTTTGTCACCTGTGAGGGGTCTCGGTGTAGTGACTGTAGTGCTGACGGTCTGCTCGGGCCGTGGCCCCTCCCTGTCCTCTGTAGTATTTAGTATAGTGTGCTGCAGGCGGTGCAGAGAAGACGACGAAAGTCTGAGGAAGGGTCACTGGAGCGGGGCTTAGAGTGCGGGTGGCCGCGGCTAGTGTCGGATGCGGGCCGGGAGAGGGCGCCCTAGGACTAGCCGGGAGGCGGCGCCCCTGAACTGGCCGGGAGATGGCGCCGGCGTTAGACTCAGGAAGCGGGACAGGGCACCGCAGTGAATGGACCGTCTTTTCGTGGTCGTATGTCAAACCATACCGTATTGTGTCGATGTTTGCGGGCTACTCCGCACCTGGCTCCTGCCAAATATACATACATATTCACCTCGGCTCGTGCTCTCTGGACTGTGAGGCTACAGACGGCGCGCGGCACTCGAACACATGTATTTGCGATGTCATTCACACGGTTGATAATTTGTTACGCAGTTACTATGATGTGTTTATACGCACACTGACTGAACACGATGGAGCTGCTCTCAGGTACGGCTTGGAGCACCGACAGGTCACCGCGCGTCCGCCGCACCCCTTGCAGGCCGTCCGAGTACACATGACGCAACGCCAACACCAACTGACTACTGTGACTGCGCTGTCGCCTGGCCACTACCTACTATGCATGACATCACCCGAGTTACCAGCTCAGAAAGCAGACTGTCTACCCCCAAAGTCACAAACCACGCGCGATTAGATCACTCCGCATCACAAGCCGTTTTCACTATAGCATTCGCGGCCATCTGACTCGTTCCAGACCAGTAAACCCCGCGTCACGAATGTCGCCTCTGCGTCACGGAGCCCGCGGCGGCTGCGTTGCGCTCCGTTACGGTCACAGTGCCCCGTAAACACATCCCGCCGAAGAGGAGGGCCGGTGCGATCCGCCCTCCAGGCACGTTCACGTTCACGGCCGCCGCAGCTGCAGGCGACTGAGGCCCACTGCCGGCGGGGGTACGCCTCGACCGACTGACGGGTGGCGCCGGCGCACCTCACTGCCGGCGGGTGAGCGCGCTCCCGCCGCACATTGCGGGAGTAGAGAGCCAGTACAGAGATTTCACGTTCCTAGACCTAAATCAACTGCTCCGTAATCTTTGGTAACAATGTCAAATGCAGTCATAAACGTAAATGTGAACATCAAATAGTGGTGAGTAGGCAATGTTGTGAGAAACATTCAGCTAAAATATCAGAGTACGTGCTCCCGTCCCCAAGTTACATAATTCATCAATTTTTCATCAATTGATTCGCTTCGCCACTATTCACAGCAGCTTAAAACCCACATATGCATATGAACACACAATGTTCAGCGCGAACTAAAATTGCAAACGATTGTTAACGTTCGAAGGTTTCCATGCATATAAGCATCGGTGAGATAGTCAAATAATGTCACTCCTTTTCGCTCGTAAAGCTACAGAGATCGGCAGAAGGGCTGACCAGTAGGTATTTCGAGTCCTATCAGCCAAACCGTAAGCTCATCGCATCCGTTCGACTCGCCGTCCGTCTAAAATGTGTGAAACGGTGACCAAAAGTGATAAATAGGCGCCCGGCCGAATACGTGCGGGCCGGGAGGTGATTAATTTCCAGTCGGAGTATTCCGTCACTGTACGTGGCCCCGGTGGCCGTCTGCTCTGACTGATCTGAGGAACCATCCGTAAGGCCGAGGACGGAGGGCCGGTCTGCCGCCGACAGCCCGCCAGTGACCGCGGCAGCGACCACAGCAGGTTGGCCAGAACCGGACGGCACACGGACAGTTTGACGGCTGGACGGGGCGGATGAACTCGTCACCCAGGAGGCGGTCTTTCTGACCACTCCTGACGCAGCAGACTGTCCAGTCCACGCGGGTCTGTCCAGAGGTCAGGTCATCCTCCGACCCGCCGGAGTCGCTCAGTGACCTCTGGTCCACCTGCGGCCCTGCAGACCGTCAGGACACCTCGCCGGGCGCGCCGCTCGCCCTGTCAGTTCCGGTCAGACCCCCGCTGAGCCCGGCCGGACCGAGACGCCCTCCAGGCCCGTGTCGGTGTCCGTGTAGGGCGGCAGGTCGCTGGCGCCGCCCGTCCGCTGGCGCACCAGCAGGCTCTCCGTCTCGTCAGACTGGAAACGGCAGGCGGACAAAGGTCAGCGTATCCCAGCGATCGGGACCGGGGACACAGTACGCGGGGAGTACGGCAGACAGGCAGACAGAGGTCAGCGTATCCCAGCTATCAGGACCGGGGACACAGAGCACGGGGAGAACGGCAGGCAGACGCAGCGGTCAGCGTATCCAGGCTATCGGGACCGGGGACACAGAACACGGGGAGTACGGCAGACAGGCAGACGCAGCGGTCAGCGTGTTCAGGCTATCGGAACCGGGACCACGATACACAGAGAATACGGCAGACAGGCAGACAGCGGTCAGCGCACCTCAGCCATCAGGAATAACACACACAGGAAATACGGCAAACAGAAAGTGGTCAGCGTATTCACGCCATCAGGACCGGGGAGAACACAACACTCAATACGCAGGGAATGCGGTAAACGCAGACATGGAGCGGTCAGCACAAGCAGGCCATCAGTATTGGGAACGGAAACACAGTACGCACTTGTGGAAACACGGTCAGAGAGCTTCGCAAAGGCGGCCGCTGGGTCAATGAGCCCAGCGCAGCGCGACAAACATGTTGACACACACTCAGCGAAGTCGAAAACAACAGAATGCTATGGCGCATAACATATCCGACAAGCTCCACTGAACTGGAGTGCGTGATGGATATTGCTTATGCAAGGCTGCGGAGTCGGAGTCGGAGTCGGAGTCAGAGTCAGAGTCGGAATCGGAGTCTGAGATGGTCGGAGTCGAAAGTTCTGACCGGAGTCAGAGTCGATTTTGGAAACCGGAGTCGGAGGCACCGACATTGGAGTCAGTCGGAGTCGATACTTCTGGCCGGAGTCGGAATTAATTTTTGGAAGTCGGATTTGGAGTTAGAGTCACCGAAAATCCATCGACTCCGCAGCCCAATGTCTTGGGCCATTACCTTACGATTTTCCGCTTTTTTCCTAGAGTAAAACCTCAGTAACATAACGATGACATTTACCGATCAACCAGGCTAAAGCGAAGCGGTGCGTCTCGAACAATGCCACTCTGTTTCCCAAGTTTTAACCAGTGCAGCAGTATGTGTTTGTGAGGTCATCAAGTAGAAATTTGGAACGCGCTGAAATTACGGTCTCTGACAGCGCGTTAACTTCCCGATTGTTTCTATTGGCTGGCTGTTCGATCTGCTGAGAGGTGGCGTCCACTCCGCTGAGCAGAGACGCAGGCCGGTCACCCAGACTACACGTGACACGCGGCCTGGCGAACCCGTCCCTTCTACAGGTGGTTCCGTGACGCCTGGCCATTTCCTCGTCCGAGCCAAGGTCGCGTCAGATCCGCCCGAGCCGCCGGAGCGGGCACAGACGCGGTCATAACAGACGGGCGAGAGCGGGATACCACAGAGGTCACCAGCTCAGCCTGAGTCACCCAGCTCAGCGGGCCAGACGTCGGCACCGATTACAGCCGACGCGCCACTGACGCGCCACACGTGTGGTGGGCACAGATGGGCGTCGTGTTCAGTGTCTGTTCTGTGTTCCTGTGTTCCGACCGAACACAGAGACCTGCCCCGGCGCTGAGCACCTGCGGCCGCACAGCTGCCCCGCCGAAAACCACCGCGGCCAGCGTGCAACAGCCGTCAGCGCACGGTCACAGACCGAATATCGATCAGCTCAGCGAACAAACAATGGCGAAACGTGACCAATAACCACGCCGAGCTGGCGAAACCACTCCGGTTATAGAGCACGGCTGAGCGGGCGAGAACGGCCGACAGCGGCGAGACCGACCCGGAACAGTCTCTCCCGTTCCCCGCCCGAGTGAGCCCGACTCCCGTCCCCACCGGACGAAGCCCTTCACGAACCGCCGAGTCAGCGTGATCGGGGGGGGGGGGGGGAGGAAGAAGACGCACCTTTTTGGCCGTGCAGCACTTTTGCGCCACACATGCATCGTTGTCGGACGGCGGACAGTCTAGTATGCAGGTCTCGCTCTTGGTCGTGTGCGCCTCCTCCTCGTACTGAAAAACAAAGGGGCGAGAGTTGAAATGACAGTATTGTACCAAACAAAGAGGCGGGAATATAGTTGAAATGGTTTAACGATAGATACCAACAAACACAGGGAGCAGGAGTTAAGGCTGGAACACAGCTCTCGCGCGTGCAAAATATTGCGCCTCGCTCCCCCGTTGGAAGACATTTTTTCGCTCCCAACTCTCACGGCATGAGTTGCAAGCTGACAACGAAAATACGCAAGCTTATGAGTCTTAACCAGCACAGCAGAATTCGCTGGTGGGGTCAGCAGGTAGAAGTGTGGAGCGCGCTGAAATTACTGTAACCTCATGAAATGAGCGAGACGCAGTTTGCACGCGTGGATGCTGTGTTCCAGCCTTTAGGGAGGACGGTAATACCGACAGGCACGATAATGGATGGATGGATGGATGACAATGGTGGAACGGCAGGTATTGGCAGATAACTCCCAGAATCAGCCACAATAAAATGGCAGAAAAAAAACATGGGACACAAAGGTAGGCACGTTCCTCCTTGAACTCGACCGCTAGTGAACTGGAAGACTAAGGTCACTTAGGAATCCGCAGATGACAAAGGAGTGAGGTCATTGGGAGAACAGCAGACTGACGGGCACTGAAAAACATATGGCCGAGAGCCACAGACAGTCAAGCAGTGCGATTTCAGTCCGCATTTGTTCACCCGCGCGGTGTTCAGGAACTACAAGTCTCGCCCCGTCCCCAGGGTCATAGTGAACCGTAACTGGCGACAAATTGACGGAGACGCCCTGAATGCTGATCTGTGTGCGGTAGATTGGTCACCTGTGTTCAACACTGATGATGTTGCGCGCCAGTATGCATATTTCGTTCAGCGTGTACTGGGAGTGCTAGATGATCACGCACCCCTCCGCCGCATGAAGATCAGAAACCCTGACGCCCCTCCCGTGTCAGATGCGACCCGGCGCATAATGTCAGATCGGCGAGCCGCGCTACGTCAGGGTGACGAGACTGCATACCGCGAGCTGAACCGGCGTGCGCGAGCGGCGATATTGCGAGACTCGAGGGAGGACGTCAGACACCGGATCTCCGAGGCGGGGCGATCGGCGATGTTCAGATGTGTGCGGAGTATTATTAGTGGAAAGGCTGTCGGTCAAAAACTACCGGATGTGTCACCAGACACTTTAAACACGTACTTCTCTGAGATCGGTGTGAAGACGGCCCAATCTGTAACTGCCGCGCGTCCCGCTGATTTTCGCGAGCTGCCGGTCAGGCTTCCCCGTGTCTCGACGGCT